CAACATAAAACTTGCATCAGAATGCTTAGAAATAAAAGTACCTGTGTGGCTTAAATACAGTTTACCTGAGCTGTTTAGAAGCCAATTCAGTGTAATTAACTTCCACGGGTACTTTTCTGTAGGGTTCTATGACAATAGCAGAGTATTTTCGCTTTTGTTGGTGAGTGCAAGATCTGCTAAAACCCTTTCAGCAATAATGAGTGTTAAATACACTGGATGAAACTTTGCATTGCCCTGTAAATCCAAAGGACACATCCATTCACCCTCTGAATTTTCAGATGTAAACCACACATTTATAATAAGATGTGTTATGGGATTTTCTCTCAGGTTCGTACAGGCCAGTAAGTTCAGTGGAACTGTGTTGACTGCCCTGGTTCTGCTTAGGCATGTCAATAGGGTGCCCAGGGCAGGTTTCTCTTATAAGGTAGTTCTGCCAGGTAATTTGTAACTAGAACAAGCATTGAAAAGAACAGCATTCTACTAAAGATCTCTGGTCAAAAAACTGATCACAGTATACTGGCAAAGATTCAGAAAATGGACAAAAATACTAGTATAGCTTGCTGGGGATGTAAGAGGTTAATATCACAATGAGCATTAGCTCAGAAATGGAATGGGGCTTAGACCCGAGGATAATTCCATTTGTCATATATCATGGCATACATCCTCTTCACAGTGTGTTACCATTATAAATGTGAGCTGTGCATCTGTGAGATTACTGTTTAAATCATTTTATCATACTACAACTCATAACAGCATTCTGTGCCTAAAACCAGTCTGTGGTATCAGGAAAGGCATCTTTCAGCATCATTTTAATACGATTGTTTTGATGATATTGTAACAGGATCAGAGCTGATGCCCAAAGCTCTTTCTACCAGAATAGTTGGAGGAATATGGTGGTTTTTCACCTTAATCATAATCTCATCCTATACTGCCAACCTGGCTGCCTTCCTGACTGTGGAGAGGATGGAATCCCCCATTGATTCAGCAGATGATTTGGCAAAGCAAACCAAGATAGAGTACGGGGCCGTCAGAGATGGATCCACCATGACCTTCTTCAAGGTAAGATGGCATCAGCCAGCTCTGTATGGTTGGACTGACTCATGGCCCTCCAGCAATAAAATGGTGAGGTGGAATCACAACATTTGAAAGAATTAGCATCATAGGTAAATACATCATTTGCCCAAATCCATAGAGGATCCTTCGGCAATATTTATGTAAAAGATGGGAGATTTTCCCCCAAGACATATGGAGAAACAATCCAGTGCTGTACTGTTGTGAGGGGTGAACCCATGTCTTTGTTGGGAGGACCTGAAGGGAATGGAGGCAAAGACCTGGAGACATTCTGCTCCAGGTTGTTTCTCAGGGTGGGATCTCAGGTTCTTGCAGCCACTTGGCCAAGATCACTTCTGAAGGTCACATTTGCACCTCAGGCAGTATTATTGCATGGCAATAATACAATAAAATGCAGTAAAATGCAAGTTTGTCCCTTTTTAAAAATGGTCCATGGTCAATACCACACAGATTATTAATATACAGGCTACATGCACATGAACACATCTGTAAGTAGAATATCATTTTCTGTGGCTAATTGCTTTGTAGATAACTGCATTTTTTTTCCATATTAGTATTAATTACATACAAAATGGATTAATCTCCTAAAATGTCAGTGTGAAAGCAAACAAGCTATAAATACAGGATACACGTGCAAAAATCCTGTTACAAGTAGAATTAATTAGCAGCTTCATCAGTAGTCTCAGCAGGGAAGTTAAACACTGAATGAACTGGATATCAACCTTTTCACCATAGTATCTAAGAACAGTGTTTATAGATAGTCAAATATGAGGTGCCTTTGAAGAGGATGAAACACAGTGGGGAAGCAGCATGTGGGGCAAAACAATACCTGTGCCGTACATGACCCCTCTCCTCTGCTGCTCCAGCCCAAGCCCCCTGCCGCACTTTAACCATAAGCCCATACGCTTCTACATGAGGCAAAATGCTTACACATAGGAAGGATCTTGGCTAGGATATTTGGGTCACGTCTCAAAACCAATAATGCTCATCAAGGACGTCCCAGTAATGTTATAGATCTGATGGTAGGCTGTCCCTGCTGGAGCTGTCAGGGATGAACTGCCCTTATAATGGCTCTCCTGTGGCTGAATAGAAACGTTTCCATGCTGAAAGAAGCACACAAACTACAGTATCTTTCAGGGTCTCATTATAGTCAGTTCTTCAAATGATGAGCTGAAATTTCCATTAAGATATGCTGGGAAACCCATCTGAAGATATTCCTGGAAACTGCAGGGGAAAGCAGCCGTGCCACCTTTTGAAGGACTCTGGGAAGCTCCCTTGGTCTAAGAGATCTTCACTGCCCAAAGACGGTCACTGCCGTTGCTATTCTGAAATCAAATTCAGCATCAGAAAGAAATCTTCAGAGCTTGTTGCTTCCATGTATGTTTAGAGGAAATAGCTCCTGAATTTCATGAGAAATTCAGAACAATTTCCTAGAGTTGCTTCCAGCTTTACACTGATTTTTATTTTTTTTGCACCATTAATCCCTGCGGTTAAAATTTGTAGGCTTAAAAGAATGCGAAACTTTATTAAAAAAAAAAAAAAGGACAAGGTGATTAAATACTTGTATGCTATAGATGCTATAGATGCTAGCTTACTTGTACCTGAAATAGGTGTGTACACAAAAGCAAGTGAAATTACACTAGTTTTTTTACAGACTGGAGATGGATTCTCTGAAACAGTGAAGGTGAAATAGTGAAAGATATATGAAAATCACAATTTATCACACTTGTAAACCACTGACACATACATAGTGTTATAGAAAAGGTGGTGTTATTTTTATTACAGAAGCCCTTCAAGAGTTTCCCAAGGTTAAGACTTCTTTATGCTGTCCAAAACTTAAAAAAATAAATAAAAACCACTGAGTAGGCCTCTGTACAATAAATACCATAGGTACTTATGTATGCAAAAGGAATACTGCGTGCTCTGTGAGGGCATATACTTCTTGACATAAGAGCATCCCCTCACATACACACCAGTAAGAGACCTGGGAATGAGGAGAAGGCAAGGATAAGGGTTTCTGGGCAGCAGTTTCTCCTGTGCCCGTGTTGCATGTGCATTATGGTATAGTTTAAGAAAAAACACCTTTGCCGTACCAGTTCTAGAGAAGATACTTGAAATAACTCTGCCTTTTTCTGGGGAGCTGTGAAGTCCTAATGTGACCTGGACAGTTTCTCCTGAGCTGTTCCATGCTGTGATGGCCCCTAGGAGCACCCTAGTGCCCAGAAGTAGCCCCTGACAGCCGTACCCCTGCGATTCGAGGGCTAGAAGAGCTGAGCTGGGGTGAAAGTTGCTTTTCAGGTTGGGCAGCCTGTGCTGTAGAGATGGTCCTGCCACCTGAGAGTGCTGATGTGATGGGAACAGGGAAAGTAGGAATCAGCACAAGCAGGTGCAACAGCAGTAAAAATGTCCTGCAGGAGTGTGGTGCAGGGCTGGGTTGCAGTTAAGGAAGGGTCATTATTTCAGGTGCTTCCTGTGTTGCAAGATTTGATTTAGCTAAGGGCTAAGCCAAGAAATGCCAAGAGAAATAGAAGACTCTTTCAGATCAACATTTTTTTAAAGCAGAACTGTGACACTTCCAGGATTTTCTTGCTATGAAGGAAAGAAGAGCAAGAAAGTCCCTTCCATGCAGGGCATAAAAGACCAGAAAGACCGGATGGGTCTGATTTTCAGGACTATAAGAGACACACTTGGCAAAAGTGTGTTTCTGAAGACATCAAGGGCAGAGAAAGATTTTGGCATGAAGCAAATTCTGAAGAGCTTTGGTTTAAGATGTTGTGCTTAAATAACAGCAGGAAGCCCCTGAAAGATATTACCCAATGCACCTGCTGGATGGGATATAGGTTGGGAAACATAAAAGGAAAGCAAGGTACTTCCACTGTTTTTCTGAAAGTTTGTTCTGCATTTGTTCAAACTTAAATCACTTTTTATTAGTCTTGTTTAGAATGCGTATGCTGACAGTTGTGGTTTTCCACTAATTTTGAATGTCCTACATTAGTATCCCTATTGTAATAGTGTCTTCAGAAAAAATATTGTTAAAGAGGCAATATTTTCTAGAAAGCTTCTGCAGTGACTATACCTTCTACCCAGGTATTGCAGGCAATGAAAACAAAAGCAACTGAAATTATTTGGGAGTAAGAAATGTAGTTCTGACCTTGAAGAAACCTCAGTCTCCTCCCTGTACACAGATCCCAGATGAAAATACCCAGAAAACAGGGCCTGGACAATTAAGGAGTGATCCAGCAAGGGGATAGGATTTTAGGCAGGTGAGCCAACAGGATCCCAGGCAGCATTCACCATCTGCGTGAATGCCCAAATTTAGGAAAAGTCCAACAGAAGGCAAGATGTTTCACATCCACAAATCATGACGCACACGGACTGCTGTCCTGCTCTGTTTCCAACATGTCTATAAATCTTCCATTGCTTTCTTGCCCCTCTGTGATAATAGATCTTAATCTCATGTTGCAGCTCTTGCCAGCCCCTACCTTCTGACATGCAGACATGTTTCCACTGAAATCAATGAGAATTCAATAGCCAGAAATATGATCTATCCTGAAAAAACGGGAGTTGGCAAACTGAGAAGCTAAGATCTTTCTTGCAAACTCATCTGAATAAGGAATGCATCCTTCCAGTAAATTCAATATCAGATTCAATCTACTACATAAACTTATCATCAATTTCAAAACAATATTCCCAACTGAGCAGCAAAAATGGTTTCTAATAGTAAAGAGCCACTTAACCATCTTCAAAGTTTAGTGGTATCCCGTGGCTTACCAAACTTAGGTGGAATTTAGGTGGCATTCACAGGTGTTGAATTTACAGGTAAAGCACATTAACATTTCAAGCTAAAAGAACCAGAAAATCAACTTGTCATGGGAATCCCCAATCCACTGGTGTGGACCACATATGGTCTCCACACAGCGAGTCTAAAA